CACGCTCGTACTCACCTTCAGTGGGGCAGGCAGCCTGCACCTCACACTCTCTGATGGCACGCTCGTACTCACCTTCAGTGGGGCAGGCAGCCTGCACCTCACATTCTCTGATGACACGCTCGTACTCACCTTTAGTGGGGCAGGCAGCCTGCACCTCAGAGTGCCGGGTGCCGAGGTTGTAGTCAGGGTTCGCAGACATGATGACGTCTGTCTTCTTGATGTCGACAAGGACCCGCACAGCGTACCGCCGGCAGGGGACAGCGTTGAAGCCAAACACTGCGAGAATATAACGACCATAAAAAAGCATTGGGGTGAAATTATGAATTATGTGTAGATGAATTATATTGGTTGTCTTATAATAGTTGACAATTATATGGTACAAATTTCGTCGTAGAAAATTTCACAGATTTAAAATTTAATGTTTTGAGTCATAGAGCATAAGGCATTGGGCAGAGATTTTTATGAAAGTCATGTCATCTAAACATGACTACTTAAATTTTTTCATGTCCTCGTCAACTATCCCTGCAGAACCTAATTCTTGCACGCAAAAAATGAAAAACAAATGGAATAAGTGAAAAATTTAACTGCTTGAATTCACACGAAGATCATAGGCTTATCTTAAGCCCGGTCTTAATACAGGGTGCGGCGCGGGAACTTACTTATTTGAATTGCGCGCCACGTGGCGGCCATTAGTCCTAGGAAGGTGGCGCCATGCGCAATATGGTGCGCGGGCTATGAAGTTTTTCGTCCACTCAGTTCAGTTGCGACCATGCAGCTGTCTCTTATACACATCTAGATGTGTATAAGAGACAGGCATGGAGGTCACCTACAAGATGTAATATTCAAGAATTAAACTTGTAAGTAAACCCAACGAAACTTTAAATGTAGCTCTTTGTAAAAAAGAAAGAATTAAAACGCTATCTTTAATACTTTTTACTTTGTGATTTTTTTAAAAGAGTAAGTTCCCACGCCGCACCCTGTATATATTACGAATTTTTAATGATATTTGGGAACTGGATCTTTTGCGGTTAACCAGTTTAAGGAGGAATTTTTGCATGACACTTGCTGCTCGATCAGCTGCCACGAGCAGGCGGTACACCGCCACGCAGGACCCACCTAGAACGGAACTGTACCACGGGGCTCTCGTACCGCGCCTCTCCCACGCGGCGGTTGAGTTAGCCAAGTCCCGCACCTGGAGCACATACCTGGTGGCAGGTGCATGGGGTCAACGATCATTCATACTTAAAAAATAGCGTGAACTTAACTGCTTAGTCAATTTGTGGCTGCTAACGTAGTAGGTGTGATACCAAGTAGGTCCATAATAGGACACTGGATCGATTCTTTCATCAACTTTCAATTAACAAATTGTTGATGAAATTTAGGCATTCTTTATGTTTAATCAGCGATAAAAATCTATTTAAATGAAAATTTTCGTTCTTTATTACTGAACATTAGTTGTGATGACTCGAAATAACGAACGTTCTTTTAATGTGAGATTTATTACGCTTGTAGAGCGTACTCAAAGGTAAGAAACAACTGCACCAGGCTATTCAAGGCTTCTTGTGAACCTTTCTAGCAATGTAGAATGCAGAATTTTAAAAAAGCCTGTTAGGGGTTGGGTCTTATCCGTAAAATCTGAATCCTACCCTGCGACGTCATCGTCCGGGTCCAGGACGCCCTCGTCCTCGCTGGCGGACCAGCGCTTATGCGCCACGGTGCACCAAGCGTTGCTGCAGTTCACGGTGGGAGGTTCCCGGAAGCGCGGCAAGGTGAGAGGACGAGGCTGGTCATCTAAGGGGCGAATATGCCGACAATTGCGCATTAAACTCAGCGAATAATTAGTAATTGATTATATTTTGCTTTTCTAGAAGAAATATAAACATCCTACAGGAAAAACCCCGAACGATTCATCGACCTTTTGAGGGTATATACATACATGCATAGAGCTCATCCTGGGCACATGTCATCGTTATTATCTGATACAGCGCGAGGAGGAGGCGCTGCATCGTCACAGCAGGCGGAGGCTGGGAGCGTGCTAGACTCCTAGTGCTAGACGTGCTCCTAGTGCTAGACGTGCTGCTCCCTGTGTCGCGCTTTGATTGCAATTGGAGGGCGCAGTCAGTTTGGCTATATTTTCCGATGAATTTCATGCTAAAATCTTATTTTTTCAAGACAAAATTCCGCTAGCTGTTGCATTGTTCTAGTCGAAACTTCTGCTGGATTTTCATACAGAACAAATTATTTGTAAAAAACATTTGTATTAAAATAAAATACTACATCACTTAGTTATCAAATGATGAAAATTTCTAGAAAGTATTAAGTTGTGGCCGGTTATAATTTTGTGATCGGATTTGGCCGTTTTCTCTTGCCATTATCTGGCAACCCTGGCCCTGAGATTCCCTGGCTCAGCTGCTGCCAGTCTCGCGCAGGCCCCGCCTCAGATAGTGTACGCGCTAACAGAATCCTCCTTCCTTGCTGATGCCACAAAATATAATGTTTTACATTTAGCATCCCCTGACATACAGTTGTTTGTTATCAACGCTTTTCTGTTCGCAAATATTGCAATGTCTGTTGGACGACACGCGACACATGACATTGCCACATCTGTTCACCTGCGAATAGTTCATCAGCTGGAGGACTTGCGCAGAGCAAGCAGGGTAGTAAAATAATTGCGCCTCATTGTGGCTAACAATCAATTGATCAATTAGTTATGTCAGTTGCCTACAACAAGGCTCAAGTAGCGCTTTGTTCGGCCACGCGTCTGTGGAGGAGTTGGGAGCTGCTTAGGTATTGCCTGCGGTCGTTCAGTTCATTTGCTGTCGGTGAGCCAGCGCACATGGACAGCACAGAGAAATGGGGGAGTGTGCAGTGTGCTTGCTTTTTCAACATTTAGTAAAAAATTACATACTGTACAAAAATTTCAACACAATAGTATGAACCAGTATGAAACATAGATATATGTGTGTATTTAGGTAAAAAAGCATTAAAATATTCATTATTATTGATTGCTGAATGGCAGCACTTCGAATCATTCATATCTAAAAGATCTAATATGACTATTATGAATTATTGTTAATTCATACGAATTCCATTCTACGTTTCAAACTACAGTATTTGCCGTCTGAACGAGGCAACAACAACAGACCTTGCACTTCAGGCAAAATAATAATCGGGAAATTTGTGAGGCGATCATGTCGGCGCGTATCATGGATACGAACCTTGAGTGCAGAGCTCAGGGTCGCGGCAGCGGCGCGTGCAGCCGCCGTCAACAGGAGAGCAGAGGCCATCAACGCAGTAGCTGCAGCGCAGGGCGCAGTCTGGTCCGTACCACCCAGGCGCACACCCTGCGTGAGGCACACGTGATTACCTCAGCGACTCGTGCTGGGATTAGGACACAGCAACAGCGAGTATACATCACACAGGGACTACGCAGGTATACATCACACTGAGGTGGGGGCATATGTCAGTGTGATTCATTAGGGTGAATAAAGTGTCTTGTTATTATTAGGAGTAACACTCACATCGGTTAGTTGTTATTCTGAACAAATTTAGGATACATTATAAAAATTCCTATGATCCAGACACAAAGAATACATCCAAGTTCTGATACACAAAGTGTACGCATGTATTGACACTCGGAGAATGAATCCAATAACGTCGTTATTACTAGGACATCCAACATTTATCGCGCGCTACTGTCCTCCTGGGTGACGTGCAATCATAAATGTGTAGAGACCTACCGTCATGTTTAATGCATCGTATCCGCTGAGGATTGTAAAGCTACAGGAGTAAAGCTACTTCGCATTCATCTGCCTTCTCTTTTCCCATTACTTTTGTCGCAGTTGGGTCCCCGGTATCCAGAAAGGCAGGAGCAGCCCCGCGGGTCGTGAGTGCAGAAGGTCAGCCCGCTGCAGTTATCGCTGCGTGCCCAACCGAGGTGTGTACGAGAGCAGTCCTTACTGCAGTTGTCGCCGTAACGGCCCTCGTCGCAGTCTGTAAAAAAGATCTTGCTCCAAATCGGCAGCCAGGGCTGGATCCTCTCAACACTACCAAAGATGAGAAGCTCTACAGCAAAGCTGGCAGCTTTGCGTGCGGCAGTCCACACATCAGCTAACAAGTGAATCTTCATGAATGCATCACCACTAACTGCGGTCCACAATGGCACGCAGAGTGGCAGCACTGAAAGGTGTACATTTGCTTTGTTTTCCTTTAATTATCTCTCTAAGAGAAAACTCTAATTATCCCCCTATGAGATAGCTCTAATTATCCCTCAAGGAAATAACTATAATTATTTCCTAGAGTTATTTCTCTAAGAGATAACTCTAATTATCCCTCCATGAGATAACTCTAATTATTTCCTAGAGTTATCTCTCTAAGAGATCACTTCCTGATATCAAACAATAAAGTGACGCACTCGGTGACAACACTCACAGTGCTGGCAGCGGTCCCCATAGGTGCCGGGGACACAGACGCATTCCCCAGAGCGAGGGTGACATTCCCCAGAGTTGAGGCAGTCTGGGCACCACTTGTTACAGCGTAGACCAAAGCGATGCTTGGGGCAACCTGAATGAAGCTAGTTATTGGGGGCTAGTTATGGTTGGCATCAGCTATTGCTGGTGCTAGTGATAGTTAATGGTGGCTTATGCAATTGATGTCTGGTGCTAATGATGTACTGCTTGTTATTGTTGGCAGTAGTGATAACTGCTTCCTGTAATGACTGAAATTAAAGATAGATGATGTATGAGATTTTTAATGCTAGTAATGGGAAGTGCTGGTGATGTCTCGCTCAAATGTTTTCTGTTGCTTGTGATGTCTGGTGCTAGTGATGGCTGATGTAATTGATGTCTTGTGCTAATGATAAGCTAATGATGGTTGGTGATATTGATTATAGTGATAGCTACGTCTTGTCGCGATTGACAGGTTCATGTTTATTAGTTCTACAGTTGCTGACGCTTCTCGTGTGCATCTGATTCCATCCCCTAATGCTGTGTAATAAGAGGTGTAGTCTGGAGCACTATAATTCGGTAAATAGAACGTTTATAGACCCACGACGGTACAAAACCTTAGAATTCGCTATTAGTTGCGCTATGAAGTTATTCAAAAGTTACCCCGGTTCATCCGATAATTCGGTGAGCTTATTAATCTGTCTTTCCTTTGTAAGTCATCTTCTTGCATAATAATGTTTGTATACCACGTTAACCTTTTTATCTTGTATTACAAAATATATAGTCGTGTCTTTATGTGCAGAAACTCACAATTAATAAATTTGATACAAAGTAAATCATCTTATCACTGTCAAGGAAACTTGGGGAAACCTCTAAGGCGGCAAGGAAGACCTCAATATATATGTATTGATCCAAATAAAAGCTTATCTGTAGTCACGAGCACTAGTTATAAAGGCCGGTCCACAGGCTCAGTTTTCACAACGATTTGTCTGCGTAGTCTTGAGTCGGAATGAAATCGTTGCAATTTTTAGAGCGTCCACATGGTGCCGACTTATCTGAGTAGTTTGCTCAGTTTTGCGCGAACTCGCCATGGAGACGTCTCCGACAAATTTACGGCCGGACTCGCGGCCGGTCTCCCCAAATTCGGTGAGCATGGAATATCTCCTAAATTAATGAACATAGCTCGATAAAACGGTACACGTATTTATTAGGACCTAACGGTGATGTTTCGCTCGTGAACATTTTTAACATTTTTAGTATTTTACCTTCATTTGTGAGTTATATGACGATACGTGCCGAAATTCGCAGTGAGCATGATATTTCTTCTTAACTACTGTACAGATTTGAACAAAACTTTGAATATAGAAACCTAACCTCCCCACGGCGATGTTTAGCTCGTGACAGTTTTTTAGATTATATAAAGCCCTTAGAACTCGCAAACGAATGTAAAATAAAAAAAAAATATCATGTGCTAAACATCACATTTAGGTCCTAATGAATGCGTGTACCAAGTTTCATCGAGCTACGTTCACTACTTTGGGAGATATTCCATGCTCACCGAATTTGGGAAGACCGGCCGCGAGTCCGGCCTTAAATTTGTCCGAGACGTGCCATGGAGAAGGCAGTATTTTGATCAATTTTGGCATTGTGCCTTATTAAAAAAGAGATTGGATCATATAGGGAATGCGAGGAATTAAAACACAAGTGAGATGGCTTGTAGATGTCTTTTTCTCCAGGTCCAGATGGAATCGATTTTTTATTTATTCCCAATTATTTACGGTAAATGCTCCTCAACTTATTTTACAGTTGTTTCTCTGTTTGCGCTTTCATCGATTTCCTTGAATTTTCCTACTAAGCTCTCATATGTCTCCACCTTTTTTTGTCCCTGTTACTATACAGTCCTTGAATTTTACTCGCCAAATGCAAGGAAAACTTTCGTATAGAGCAATAAATTCCCGAGAACATTACCGAAGGTCCGCCATTGTCGCCAGAATCATTGAAACTGAGCACAAATTGAATCGGAAAATGGTACTACCGTCTACACGTTTCGACTTATCTGCGCAGTTCATCGAAATCTATGCTCCGTAGCTCAGATTTTGATGCAACTGCGCAGTCTTCCCGCCGGCTCCAAAACTGCGCAGTTTTCCCGTCCACGCGCAACGGTTTATCTGCAGCGATTAGAACTGCGCAGACAAATCGTTGTGTAAAACTGAGCGTGTGGACCGGCCTTTACTCACTTCTTACGACGAGTCTGCCGAAATACTTGACTGCATCATTGGCGTTTTTGACTTCAAAACTGTAGAGGCCAGCGTCTTGCACCGTCAGGTTCCTCAAAACTTTCGTCACTTCGCCCGCGGCTGCGGGAACTCTTTTTACAATCGCACCTTCAGGGATATTCTCCCAGATGAAATCCTCGCCCACGCTCCTGGTCACCGTCAGGGGAGTGGGTGTGTAGGAGTCTGAAAAATAAATTAAAGACATGACACGTGACATCACAGTCCCTAGCCCTGATTTATTACAGTTCCATGATACGTGACATCACAGTCCCTAGCCCGGTCGTATTACAGTCTCAGGACAAGCGACACTTCCAGTCTTCCCCCAGATAGTCTGCGTGTCTCACCTCATCGTAAAGCAGAGTCCCTGTTACTGGGAAGCGCCCTCCGTAGGCCGCGGCGTACGAGGTGTTGCCCCATGCCGTGCACGAGCTCGGACAATAATGGTAACTGCAGGGGGAAGAAACAGGGCTACAGCAGAAAAATGTGAGATTATATGCGCGTTTTTGCTTACATTTTTACATGATTTTTGGTGATAATGCCATGAACACTGTCATTTTAATCGGTGATACCTAAAAAAAAAATCTAAAAAATTCATAGAGGCAGCTAAAATAATAAATGTATTAATTTTATAGATGATAACTTAAAGAAGATATAATTAACCTCATTCAAAATATTCAAACCAACATATGTGACCAAGAGTATGACGAAGGGTCGTTGCTGTAAGCGGTGGCAAACGTTGTTGAACACTCCGCATCGTCTGCGGGGGACTGCGCCGCTGCGGCGCTGATGCAGAGCAGCGCCAGCGCCAAACCCAGCGCCTCGCCGCGAGATGCCGTCGTCATTCCGCCCACGTCACCAGCGCGACTCACTTCTTAGCAGAAATATTCACTTCAAAAAGAAATAAACAAGTAGCGTCTCGTGCTTACTTCATTTAACTCTATTAAACAAAAATGATAGACATCACCGGCCATCAGAGAAACATTTGTTCGACAAGCACATCTTAATATTGGGATGCTTCGGTAAGATGAAGTGCGAGTGCCACCAACAGCTACTCTTCTAAATTATAATAATTATTATTATTCTACGGAGCTATTAACAGGGCGTCTGGTTCAAGCAACCTTTGAAGACGCGTTACGCATAAGTCTGATGTCAAGTGAAAAATAAAAAGACACGAGAATGATGAGAACGGATAAAAATGACTGAACACCAGATTCATAGGCTCAACTAAATATTTCCGTCTGCAGGCGTCGACCACCCGCAACGAAGGAGCCGATGTTATACGGAAGATTGTAGACTGTTCCAGGTTAGCGGCCGCGACCAGGATCGCTCTGTCGCCGATGGTAGTTTGACGCGTACAAGGTACGACGAGATCCGCTGTTGATGATGAACACATTCGCCTTCTAGATGGCAGATACGACACGCGCTGCAGACCTTCTGCGAGATAAGGAGGCGCCAGACCTTAAGGGCAGCATGTCGGTCACAAATAGATAATTTTGCTTCTCCGTTTTCTTGGCTCATTTTGTTGCTGCTGAAAAAGCGCGTCTAACGCAGTAAATTGCATGTATGTGTGTACTGTAGTTTTTTGTTTTTGCGTAATGCAGTTCCATAAAAATATAAAATGAACATATTTTAACAATATGTACTAAGATTTCTTTAAATTAAATCTGTATTTATAGATCATTAGTCTCGTTAATTGCGAAGTGTTAGCACTTGTTTGAAAGCTACAAATATAACAAGACGTGTTCAATAAAGCAAATACCATGGATGTACATGCAATAATTTTCGCGAAATGCTGTCATGAACTTTTATAAATGACATGTTTATAGCAATATTTACAAATTTTCATTTAAAAAGGGTATTTATAATTCATTATTCGCATTAATTGCAGTGTTTGCACTCGTTTGAAAGCCACAAACAATTCGCGTTCAGAAAAGCAAATACCCCGGATGTTCATGCAATATTTTTGGGGTTAGGCCGTTTTTAACTTATAGAAATGAACAATTTTTATTTGTATTAATGTGTAAAAAGTCACATTGATAGCTTATTATTCACGTTGAACTGGACAGGAATAAGTCTGAAGACGCGTGCTGGTACCCTAAATGCAACCAATTGGCATTAAAATCTTGGGCTACAATATCAAGCAATTTTTTTGGCACAATTTTCAATCTTTTTCAATGAATTTTAGTTATTTGGCTCCCCCCCTAAACAACTAAAAGTTACAAAAATAGCCATCTTAAAAATGGATTTCCTGCAATGGTTTTCAAGCTACAGCATTGAGAGATGTACCATTTGATTTGTAAATAAAATCTCCATAGGTCACCCGGCAACGGATCACTGGCACACAGTTTGTTCCGCAGCGCGCCCACTGCTGCCGTAACAGCATCAGCTGTGACGCTTCATCAGCTTCTTGGAGCGCACAGTCGAACGGGCACGTCGCAAATACTGCCGACGAAGCATCGGACGACGATGCCCGTACAGCAAAAGTATTGTTTTAAAAAACTGCACGGAATTCCTCCACGTTTACGTCACCCGAAGTATCTGCATGATCTGCTGCGCTGTGCATCAACTCTCTGGCACCAAAATGACTCATTTAGATCGAAGGTCGACATGATTACGACGCGCATCTCGCGAGGTCGACGCCACTGCAACCGCAGCAGCAGGATTGCCGCGTCTGTTCACCCGGTGGACAGCCCGCCGGAGCAGTCGAACCTCCCGCTTCGAGACATTCATCGTTTAACCACGGGTCGGAGGCTCATTGGGGTGCCCGAACTGTGCGTGCAGGAGGATGCAGTATAGATACAGCTTCTTGGATGCGCAGCCTGTAAACGAATTCGGCTATCTTCTCTGCAGCGATGGAAGGCATTGTTCTCTCAGCGTTCTCTCAATCCTAACACACGAAATTAACACACGAATCCTAACACACGAAAATCCTAACACACGAATATAACCATTTTCTCTTTTATGATCTAGTCCGTCCGCAGGCTGGACCAATCATGCCACTATCGTTCTCTTCTGATGGTGCCCTTGATACTCCTACAGTCGCCAGGCTCAAGATTGAATGATTTTAATTTACTGAATAACCATTGTATAACAATTCAGGTCACATTTGATATGAAAAATGCAGAGGATTAACTCCACAGTACGTGGCCATATCTTGTACTTAGGTCTGTTTTGTCAAAACCAGTTGACATTTACCTCCTTGAATAGGCTCAATATACTTGACAGAAAATGGCTCCCAAGAAAAGATAAAACCTTCTTGGTATGTATCCTTTTTAATGGCATGATTTACTCAGAGGATACTTTGCTAGTGTTTTTTAGCCCAAATGTATTTTAATTACGGGTGATTTTTTAAATTTTGCATAATATAATTTTCTAGTTCAAAACAACTAGCAATACAAGCGTAACAATTCTTGAGTATGTACAATATAGAAGAAGCATCAAGGTTTTATACAAAATTCAGAGTGCTACGTCAAATTCTTCAAAAGTTATCATAATAAACTGAAAATTGGGATTTTCTAGAGACACTAAAACTTTGAATAATATATAGAGTTAATCTAAATGATTGGCCCTTCTTTAACAAATTCGTATTTATTTGATTTTAGACTAAAAATGAATAATTCACACACCTATGGAAAGAAAAAGTTATAAAGTTTTTGCTACATATTTTTAATTGTTCAATATGTCCCCTTGTGCTGCACGGCAAGCATCTAAACGGTAGCCAAACTCGTCCCACGCACGAGAAAGCATATCTTCTGTTACTGAGTGCACCGTAGCAGTGATACGGTTCTTCAGATCAACAGAGTTGCTGGTAGAGGCGGGACGTAAACCGAGTTGCTGGTAGAGGCGGGACGTAAACCGAGTTGCTGGTAGAGGCGGGACGTAAACAGAGTTGCTGGTAGAGGCGGGACGTAAACAGAGTTGCTGGTAGAGGCGGGACGTAAACAGAGTTGCTGGTAGAGGCGGGACGTAAGCAGAGTTGCTGGTAGGGGCGAAACGTAAACAGAGTTGCTGGTAGAGGCGGGACGTAAACAGAGTTGCTGGTAGAGGCGGGACGAAACAGAGTTGCTGGTAGAGGCGGGACGTAAGCAGAGTTGCTGGTAAAGGCGGGACCAGCTTCCTTGACGTAACCCCATAAGAAATAGTCACATGGGGTGAGATCAGGTGATCGCGGTGGCCAGAAGTGTAGAGCCTGATCTTCATTTCTTCTGCGTCCTCCCCAACGCTCAGGAAGTGACTGATTCTGAACTACCGCCGCCGACGCTCAATTCTTCGTTTGAACAGGTTAAAAAATTGCATCTCCACCTTTCCAATGGTGCATAAATTATTCATTTTGAATTAATTCCTAAAGATGTACGAATTTATTAATTTTGAGTAGAGTAGCCCGTAATCACAACACCAGGTTTACAATGCACAAACAAACGCAAATGAAAACAAGCTTCAACAAATGTAATTAATATTTTAGAGCTGTGTATTGTTATATATGATTTAAAAAGCTATATATTTTCATTGATCGACCGAGGAAAATATTTCATTATTCGTTTGATCTCCTCCATCTTTATATCAATTTCAATCTGCACGAATGAGCCTCTTTGCGAACACTCCAAATCTTTAGACTCTGTTTTGTTCTTAGCTGTATGGCCTTAGATTATATAGCTATAGTCTTAACTACTATAATAAGATATGCTAGCTTGTCAATTAGTCCAATTAACAAAGCGCATAATTCGGGCAACAACTTGAACTTCAACGAGTTGGTGTGCATAATTTCGTAATCAACTTTATTATGGTACACATTTAGCCACGCTCAAGCAACTAGACATGATAGAGAAATGCCATCGTATCAATAGTCTTCTTCAGTTCCCATCCTAATATTCTAAGACTTCAGTCCACATTCGAGTGCTGAGTGTGACGAACTAATCTTGAATAATAGCTAATCAATCGCGTCACCTCAAAGTTCGGATGGTCTAATTGTCACGTCCACCAATGACCGGAAATTAAATTCAACTTCCCTATTGGTTTTATCAGCAAGAGCTTGGACTGAGCGGATAGTTACTCGAACAAACGTTTTAAGTTTATTAAATATAAACGGCAAATAAATGTAAACAAATAACACTAATGATTTACAGAGGTGCGGCATATGAATGAACTAACAAGTTAAATGCGGAGGAAGTTAAAGTTCGAGAAGCAAAATGCGAGGAGAGAGCTAGAGCATTGAGATCCGAGAATAACGCACGATCCTACAACAGAAAACGGAAAGTAAATATCTACGCATGACAAGTCATAAAAATCACTATATTCCATCAAGTATTTCAAGCTAGATTTCACCACTATAGCACACAACTCACCCTGGCGTCTGAGTCAAAATCCTATAAGAGAGGAACCAGGACGCAAGTCGGGATCAGCATAGTATCTGACGGCTATACTGAACCTAACACCGGCGTCAGAGTCGGTCCTACTTAAACTTCATAGTCTGACATACAGTAGTGGGAAATTTGCAGCAACACTTCATTACACTGAGACTCAAGTTACTTGCATTATCTGTTGTTGTTCGGCTTCTACCATTTATTTGCTTTCACTGCTTTCGTGAATCCATTTTCGTCATTTAATTCCATTGTTTATTTTAGTATTTCAATTTCGTAACCGAATGGATGTTAAGTAAGTTGGAATTTATTTAATTAAGCAGTTCAAATTATTTATATATCAACCTTGTAAACTTTGGGCTCAATGCGGAAGTTTTTCATTAACTCGAGCAGCCGACGCTACTGTGGCACTGAGCGACTCGTCTGTAGATAAGCCCAGCCAGCAAACGGATGCTGCCATCTCCTCTGGCATGTGAACAGCGACG